AATGGGGTAGACGACTAATTTTTATTTTAATGTCCGTCTGGTAGATTATTTAAAAACATTAGACACGTATTTTTTATTTTCTTACGGAAACGAATAGTTTCGAAGATATATTGATTTGAAATGTCGCGTGACGTCACTTCTCAGTACATTTTATACTAAGGAATGACGTTTTAACCCCCACTCCTAAACTTTGATTCGTTTTATCTAAGTGTTGTTTTATTATACGACAAAATAAAAAAATACGTGTGTAATATTTTTTAATTACCTAACTTACGGACTAATTATATTTTTAATTGTCATACCCTGTCATCATCCCCATTAATTTTCAGGGAAATGAAAATTTGGGCATGGTGATGGTGTTCACATTAGTATCAGCTGGACAAGAGTGGCTCAATGTAAGATGGGATGCCATCAAGAAAGAAAGAGAAGAACAAATACTAGCCAAAAAGAAGGCTGAGGAAGAGGCAGAATTGGTAAGATCAATTTATTTATTCTTTCTAGAATAGAGTTCAAGTACTTATTAATGCCACTTGGTTAACAGTTAGTCAATGGTTCACATCATATTCCTGTTGTATTTATCCTTATAATAGAAACATTTTTCTGATCATTCAGGCTAACTAGAAATGCTCGGAATAAATTAGTTGTAGCCAAGTCTAACTGTTAAATCACTGTTACTGTACTGTAGAAACTGGATTAACTGGACTAATTGTCCTCAGAAGGAACATGATAATCGAAAATCCTGATAATCTATATTTTATTAAAAACTATAGTTTAACATACTATGATTATGTTTACAAGTACATAATAATTATAACGTATGTAAATGATGAAAACAATGAAAACCGATGTTTATAAGATATACATTTTCTTAAATTACTTGGTTCATAAAGTGATAACACCACTTAGATTGAAGTCGAATCAGTTATTTAACATAGTGTTAAACGCAGTGCAGGACACATAATGCCAGTGCTATGAATTAAAAGGCAATTAAAAAAATAGTTGATTGAGAGAATAGGAAAGTCATACATGTTCATGCTTGCATAAAATCCAGGTTGCTCTGTAATAGAATAAATTATTATTAATCTGTATTTTATTATTTTTTGCCTTAATAATTATGTAGGTGTTGTAACTTTTTACTTTTATTTTCACAGAAAAGGTTTGAAGGTACAAGAGTGACTGTGGAGTCCTTCCTAGCATGGAGGAAACAGTTTGAGATTGACATGGGCATACCCGCCAAAAGAGAGAGGGAACTAAAGGATAAGAACAAGCTTACAGGCAGGGAGCTGTTCTTGAGGGACACTACACTCAATGAGTCTGATCTTAAATTCCTTGATGATGGTTAGTATTGCATCATGTTGTTTGATATTCAATAATTTCATTACAAGAACTTTAGAAACTCCTAGCATTTTAGGAAACATGTGTAATTAATATTCCTTTAAGAAATTAGACATTATATCTTTTTAAAATTCACTTTGTCAGGGCTTTTTTGTCTAGCTTTCAAAAGTACATATTCATGTTGACCATCTGTTACAGGTGATGCAGTCAAAGTCGATGAGTCACTGTTCCAAGACTTGGATGACCTTGAAATATCTGATGAAGATGATGCCGACTATGTTCCGGGACAGAGTGGCAGCGAGAGTGATTAGTACATAATGTGCCCCTCCTACAGGGGTCAGTGAACGAGTGATAGAACTAAACGCCTCCTCGGCTGACGCGCGCCCTTCGAACAGATGTGGTTTACAGTTACTCAGTTATTGTTCAATAAAACTACACAAACATACTTGGAGAATATTTTATTTACACTTTGTCACTAAAGTAGGTATGTACAACGGACAAGTGAAATATCAAAAAAAAAGCGATGGGTCAACTATCATAAAATGGCAGCACAATAGAAACAAAGCGCGAGACAATCTAGTGTTCCGTGCTGTTTGCCAATAAAACGAACTTGATAATAAACGCAAAAACGCAGTACAAACGATTGTATATAACTAACAAAACAAGTTCAATCCATGGAATAATAATTATTTTATTTTTCCCTAACAATACAGAAAATATAACTAGTTGTGTCGCTCGCTCAACTAACTGCAAACCATGGTAATATAATCTATATTTAATGGAATTTTAATTACAATTCGGTCAGACTGAACAAATTTACGAAGCAAGTCTATTGTTTTTTTTTTTTTTTTTATAATTGATGGGGCGACGTTTGACCACTATCTCACCTGATGGTAAGCGATGATGCGGTCTACGTTGGAGCACGTCGTCCCATAAGCAACCTATTCACTCGGGCCTTGAAGGACTCCCAGGTTATACCCTTCAGGAAATACAGACTCTGGCAAAGAATTCCACTCTTTAGCAGTACGCACAAGGAAGCTTGAAGCGAAGCGCTTCGTGCGTGTGGGCGGAACATCTACCATGAATCGGTGACGCTTCGCGGATTGTCTTGTGGTACGATGATGGAAAGGACTAGGGGGAATTAAGTTGTGCAATTCCCCCGCACACTCCCCGAAATGTATCCGGTAGAAAACCGAAAGGCTTGCAACCTTACGCCTGTGTTCGAGGCTTTGAAGCCGAGCCTTTACAAGCGCATCATCGTCGATGAGCCTCCTGGCACGCCTCTCAATGTGCTCTAACGCGTCCAGCTGATATTTAGCCGAGCCGTCCCAAAGATGAGAGCAGTACTCCATACAGGACCGAACCTGTGCTTGGTACAGGCTCAGCAATTGTCTCGGCGTGAAGTACCGTCTCACCCTCCATAGGACACCCAACTTCCTACCAGCCAGTTGCGCTTTTGACTCTATATATGAGCCAAAGTTGAGCGTGGGCGTCAGAGTTACACCAAGAAGCTCAAGACGATCGGTTATCGGTACGGATACATTCCGGAAAGTAGGAGTCAGCGGAAATTGACTCCGTTTGGCGGAGAATAGACACGCCTGGGTCTTGCTAGCATAGAATTGTATTGTTCTCTAAGAATTTTTGAGAATGAAAAACAAATATTATTATATCTGAAGTTGTTATAACATTAACATTCCTTTCCAGAAAACAATAGTAATAAAACATCATATATTTGGAAAAATATTAAAAAAACATTGATGCTTATGTATTTGGGAAGAGCTCTAAGAGTGTTACGCTTCAGGAAAATTATAACTAAACTAATGAAAAGTGTAAAGCAAGCTTATAGCCCCTCCATAATATCATAAATCTGTAATCAGTTGAACAGGCGACATCGGTAATAATTATTAATTTTCATTTCATATCTATAATGTAAACACCACAACATTCAAAAACACAAAATAGTTGAGCAACAGAAACAAATCTAACTTGGCATATCTGACATTACTTAACATTAATATTTACTAAATTAGACGACACAGTAATTAATAAAGTAGGTATCAAAATATATTCATGTAGTGCAGTCTTTAAAATGAATCTGTGAAAATTAATGACAATAACACTTCTAACAATCTAGTAATAATTAACCATAGATATGTAAGTTTTGATAAAAAGTAAAAAACATAAGTGCAATCAAAATAACTTCTTACTCACACTAATGCTAGGTATGCACTTATGTAGAACGCTTATGTACACAGGTATTACGCTTCAATAAATCAGTTCATTTATCTTAAACGAATATAATTCTATAAAATAATATTAAAACAATGTTTTACATAAATCTGTAACTTTCAATTGCACGATAAATCGTATTTGCAATTTATAAACAAAACTGTAAACACCTAGAACAATAAGGTAATAAATGCAATAGTAATGATACAATGACAACAACAATAGTTAAAGATAACACACATTACAACAATGTCTTCACCTAGAACGTGCTAACACGCACATTATATTCACTAGACTTTATTTCGATATTAACTGATGGACAGTGATATTTTACCTGCAAGAATGCGTGACATACCTAGGCCGCATGCTCGGTAACTAAATATCAAAACAATGGCACCGCGATACCTTTGTTATTGCTGTAATACATAAAATATTACTCAAGGACCAAATTATAACTTCACTATAGTTATGAGCCCGACTTACAACATCAAGAGGTTGTGATAACTACAAACTATAGGCCAGTACAATAAGTCACTTCTTTAGAATTATTTCACAGGTATGCAAAATGTCTATCGTGAAAATATATATTTGTATCTTAAATTACCTATTTACTTTTTTGCTAAAGTGGTATCATGAAATTTACATAAGACATAATAAGCTGTCCGTGGTGGTCCCAATAGTAGGGGAGCCCTCAGCCCACGATGCTAAAGGAATTATTCGAGTGTTGTAGGGAAGCACCGGATTGTAAATGTTTAAGAAAATATTATATAGCTATTAATAAATAATCAATACTGTCAAACTCATTTTGACGGCGGTTATTTGTACCAGACACTAAAGCTTCTTTAGAGGTGGACCCTAGCTAATGTCTGATGGCAAACAATGGAATATCTCTATTGTAGGTATTATTTTACGAGAAGCAGTATGTAAGTAAGCATTACTATGAAAAGCAACCACTGTGAGCAGACCGATCAACTTGTTTCATCGGCGGCGACGCCATATTTTTAATATGTACCAAAATTGATCATTCCCCTGATATAATGCGCTTGAGTAATTACCGAAATTCCATCATGGGCTCCCCTACTATAATGTCTCCGATTTCTTCGAATTTGAAACTTTACAAGGCTATCCTATCTACGCTTGTGTAAAAAATATATTTGGATGGGCGAGTTCGCTGATCAATACGCGTTAAAGAAGACTATTATGTGTACAAAGCTTATTCGATCAATGTCGTAACAGCTTCTAACGAGGACGCTGACCGAGGATATTGGCGAACACAAGTTCGTATGAGACTCATTATATGGACAGAAATGTTATCTAACAACTAGCTGCTATATGCTTACCGCATAATGTGAATGTGACGTTAGTGATAATATGATAATATAGAACTGCAACGCAAAAGTCTGTCGACTGCGACAGGTTTTAATCAGAATAACACAATGATGGGCCAGCCTCCGGTCAGCTTGGCTACGAGGGCAGAGTGCTATTAGCGATCGTAAGGATGGAGTTTACTTCAGTCGTTGAGTGACGTTGGCGAGAGCCACCGCGAAGGCTTGAAGCGCTGAGAATGGGTACTGGAAGTCCAGTGTGTACGCGTTTCCATCGATACGGCCGAACTGCATCACCTGAAGAATATGAGATGTAAAGTTAATGAATATAACAATCAAGTTCAGGTCTACGTAAAGACTTTTAGATTTTTTTAAAACACTTTATGCTGTGATTTATTACCTGTTTGCCATGATATTCTATTTGGAAGTTCTTGGCGGACTCCTGTGTGACGCGGCCCCCGAAGTCGAGCTGGTAGACCTGGCTGTTCTCGTTCCACATCGGCGCCTTGTTGTGCATGACGAGCTGGCGCCGCGCGCTGGTGTTGCGGCTGTCGCTGGTCGAACTACTGCCCGACATCACGCCACCCGCGCGCTTCAACTATATCAATATACAAAGTGTCATTTCATCTCAATATACAATGGAGGTCAGTCAAAAAGGCCCAGTGTTAATTATCGGAAATTCGTTCCGTAACATTTCTGCCTACCTTATTCCTAAGTTGTGCCTTCTGGAAACTCTCCAGATCTCTATAGTTCTTGCCATTGACCTCGCTATAGCCACCGCCCGTTGAGTACTCGTCGTCGGAACTTTCGGACGGTTTCTTGTTTCTTCTTCGATTCAAAAGAGGAGAGTTCAAAAGTTGTCTGGAAAATATTTAGGGATTGTTGGATTTAACTGTTCTCGGATTATTGATGAGATCAGTTATGTATTGAATCGTTGACTTACCTGATAGGAGATGCGGAGGAGTACCGATGTCTGCGTGGAGGAGTGTGTTGCGGCGTGTGCGGTGCGGGCGCGGGCGTGGCGCCGTGCTCGCGCGCGGGGCGGGGCCGCGGGGACGCGGGCGCCGAACTCACCTCGCGGGCCACGCCCCC